AACACAGCACTCCCTCAGCTTCCCCTCCCGGGTTTTCCCTTCAGCTCCCGCCTTCTCAGCTCAGCCCGGTTGCACCGACGCAGGGCACACACAAGCCACCAGCAGCAGCAGAGCAGCCATCTCGGTCCCATCTGCTTGCCACCTCTCCTCCTTTGGCTTGTCTCCCTGGGCGGGCTGCCACTGAGAAGTGTTGCAGCAGAAAGCCCCCCTGCAGGGCAGTGGGTGGGGGTGTGACCGTGGCAATGTCACTGTAGAAGCACAGAGTCAGCCAAGAAGAAAGAAATAAAGAACCGAACAGGAGCCCGCCACTTTCGCCGTAGTTTCCTGCACTCCACACAGCCAATGCGGTTGCCGGAGAAAGGAGAGGAGGATGGGTTAGGGTTAGACTGACTTCCACTTCCACCCACCCTCCACAATAGGGGAAATAACCCTTGCGATGCCTGCGAGTGTGAGTTTATTTTATTTTATCAATGCCCCCTGACTTATTTAAAGGCCCCCTGAATTAAGAAATCCGGGCTACGGGCCTGCATCAAAGCAAAATCCATGTTGTGGATGCTATAACTGGCAGCCTGTGCCACCATTGTGTGTAAAAATGGCTTCTTCTTTTTTTTACTTTAAGCTGATTTTTAAGTATAGGCCTAAATGGAACATACTGAACTGCTGTCACCACACTTTGATTTTCAGCAGAGATAATCGTGCCCTAGAGTGTTGCAGACAATACTTACAGCATAGGTATAACCAAACCACTGGCAACAGCAGATCCTGCTGTCAAGCAGGATAACAGGAAATAAAATACCAGAGCAGTAAGAAGAGAGGCATAACCAAATTCCTCGTGGGTCCCACGTCTGAACAGGTACATGATTCCTCGCATGCCATTCTCACCCAAGAGAGCAGCAGCTTTAAATGAGACAGAAGAGCAACAAATGGAAATAACAGTTCATAATGTTAAACTAAAAAAAAAAAAGAATCCTCATATTTTAACTCTTTTATCTACTTTTTCTGCTTAATTGGGAACCAAACAGGCTTCTGGGTGCATTAGTAATTAACAGTACAGGTACCAGGGACACACTCATGAAGCATGCCACAAAACCCATCTTTTGCCACAGCCATTGATCTTAATAATCATTTGCAACTTAGCCAGGTTTGAGTTCCAGTAACTGCATTTGCTTCCACATGAGTTCTGGCTCAAGGATTTTAGGCACCCTAAGCTAGGGAGCTGGGGTGGCTCAAGTGGTTAAGATGCTGAACTGCAGGCTGTGGAAAGTCAGTAGTTCAGCAGTTTGAGACCCGAATTGCCGCATGACAGAATGAGCTCCCGTATCTAGTTCCAGCTCCTGCCAACCTAGCAGTTCAAAAGCAAGAAACTGCAAGTAGATAAATAGGTACCACTTCGGTGGGAAGGTAACAGCATTCCATGCGCCTTGGTGTTTAGTCATGCCGGCCACATGACCACGGAAACATCTTCGGACAGCGCTGGCTCTTCGGCTTTGAAATGGAGATGAGTACCGCAACCCTAGAGTCAGACTCGACTGGCTTTCAAGCAAGGGAACCTTTACCTTTTAAGCTAGGGAGTCCAAGCCACCCCCCACTTGGTGCTTCAGGGAGGTGAGAATCCACCCTCCTCACCCCTGCCAGTCTGCAAGGAGGTAGGAAGACGGTGCCCACCCTCCTTGCCCCCCCACAGCATCAGAAAAATGCCACAGGCCCTCCTGTCCTTTCTGTGGCAGGGTAGGGCACAATGGTTCCCACCCTCCTCACTGGAAGACATCACCTGCCTCATCAACCTCCCTCCACAGTCAGAGGAGACAGTGACACACAGTGGAAGAAAAAGGGCCGCACCCCAACAGAGGGAGAGAAGGATCAAGCTCCCTGGAGGGAACCCACTGGAGCAGAGGAGGCTGAAATTGGTTCCTTATTCCCAGTTCCTTATTCATTCTTTATTCATTATTTATTCATTAATCAATCTGAAACACTGAGGAGAGTTGGAAAGCTCCGAACCCCAAAATAAGGTCTGGACAACCATATATCATACACCCCCACATTCAGGGGACTCTCCCCTTCAAAACCTGGAGCAGCAGGTTCTTTCTGGTCAGACCCCAATGCTGTGTGAGCAGCCAGGCATGGACATGGTGACAACAGGACGAGTTTGTGCCCCTCCACCAATAATCTCTTAGGCAATTGTTTAGGGCCACCTAGTGGGCAGGTCAACCTGTTGCACACATGTCTTTCTGCTGTTGTCTCTTCTTTACCATTATTTATTTTTGACTTTAAGCTCCTTGAGGGCAAGGACCAATCTATGTTTATGAAACTCTGTAAAGCACTGTACATACTGATGGTGTAAAAATAAGAGTCAACTTCAAATACAGGAATTTCTCATGATCATTAACCACCCTCTTGTCTATTCACCCAGCTTGGCATGTCCTACTGACAAAATCTTATACTGAAGTACAATTGTCATCTGTAGATAACTGAACAATAGCAAACAGTTGGGAGTCATCTGATCAACTGGAAAAGCTCAGAAAAGTTGACTCTGTCTTGCTAAAGTCCACAGAAATGCCTATGTAGTCCTTTTCAGAATTAGATGCTTTGTTCAGATCCTGACCTGAAAGGAGAAAAACAATTACACAGATGTACTTTCTTCCCGTTCTAGTTAAATGTTTTTGTACATACCTTCATTAAAGGTTTGATTTGAATTTTTCACTAATTCTGGCCCGATCTGTAATGCTGCTGGTGGACAATTATATTCTGAAATTTGCCATTTGACCTGGCTTATGCTTTAAAATCCAAAAGGAAAGAAACAATATTAATTCATGAACATACAACCCTTCTACAAAATACTACTGAATTCTTCTAGAATTGGTGCTTCATTGAAAAACTTATTTATCTTTATGCCCTTAAGACTGGAGTCAAATGTCATGTAGGAGGAGGAATTAGTAATGCAGATATATAGTGGATTTTTTGTTTCTATTCTATACTCAGTAGTTAGATTCCACTTCTCTACCCAGAAGATACCTCAGCTTTTTTTTAGTTCCTTATGTGACAGTCCTTCTAAAAGATAGCAGCAAAAGATCCTGTCCCTCATTTGATGACTCTAGCCTCATCACTTGGCAATTAATAGCATGGGGAAGAGAGGAGGGATTCCCTGCCAGCATTACAATTTCACGATTCCATAATTTTGTTAACATCCTTTTGAAAAGCTTGTACAACATAAATCCACTCTTGTGTTTCTTGAGTATGAAGTATACATCTGAGGCATGTACATATTTCATGTCCTGTGCCCCAGCATTTTTTTTTTGCATTTTATTTATTTATTATTGCTTTTGCATTTTATGGAACTCCATAGAATTTTCAGACAAGGATCTACTCTCAAACTGTGGAAGCATTATCAAGCCAGTGACACCTACAAAATATAAAAGTTCTTGCATTTCTTTCATTACTTACTTTTCTGGTTTACTGGTCAAATCAAACGTTGGCAGGATCTTGACTGGTGTACAATGAAAGAAATAGGGCACGTAGACAGTTGCAGTAATGGTCAAAACCTATACATTTGTATAGAAGTACACAAGGTAGAAATAGTGACATAAGGTCAGTCTAAAATGAGCATATTCACCCCTCAAAGATAACACATGTACATGCTCACAAAAATGTTCATGTTTACTAAATCTGGATCAGCTAATCTGACATTTTACATTCATTATGGTCAGTGTTTCAGACAGGTGCATTCCAATCACGAGAGATCAAAAAAACCAAAGGCAGCCACCCAGCACAGAGCTAGGATATTGTTTTGGTGTTGTTGTTTTTTACCATTTCTGTAATAGTCTTAAAGAACTGATGTACATAAGTGATTTTCCATGGTGGTCTCTTTGGCGATGCAGTTCTGTGTGAAACTGCCCTTGCAACAGAGATTTCAGACAGCCCAGGGCAATCATTTTCTCTCCATTTATAATGGTGGTTTCCTTTCCACACCTAATGTGCATTGAAGCCCCCACTGTGTTCTCATGTGACCCTCAGGATTTTTCACTCACCATATTTTATTTTACTTTTTATGTTGAAGTGCATGGGTAATGCAGTGCTACATAGATATAATGCAATACCTTTTTAAAAACCTTTCTAAAAAACAAAAACTCCACATATTTACAAACACTTACAATGACACCCCCCCAAAGGCAGGCTGAAGTGTGGATGATTCTCTTCTTTAAAAAAAATGAACACAAGTAACACAGATAGGACCAGGGGTCTTGTTGTAGAAAAAGAGCTGCCGGGGCTTATTAGCATAACTCATTAGCATAACTTATTTGCATATGCCACGCCCCCTGACATCACCGGAAGTGACAGAAGGCCACACCCCCTGACATCACCGGAAGTGTGTCAGAAGGCCCGGCTACTTACCCTCCTGCTTCATCCTCATTCCCAAACGGAATGAGGATCGAAGCAGAGGGCGGGGTAAAGAAGGGGGCGGGGCTTCACCACGTGACCGCCCCGCCCCCTAGAGGTTCTCTTCCGGAGCTCCGTTAAAGCAACACCTTTAACAGCTTTTTTAAAAAGCAGAGCCTCCAAAGATTCCCTCTCCTCTGTTAAAAGGCAGGCAATTTTCTTCTAATTGTTGCGAGGGACTGGCCCCTTACAGCCATCAGCAAATGAAAAGAGAATTCTCTTTTCTTATTTATTCCTTATTTATTCAGATTTAGCATCCCATAAGCCATACACCAAGAAAATGTTTAAGAATTTAAAACAGCAAATAATTTTTTTTGCCACATCAACCGTACATGCTTTACAAAAGCCACTCTGAAACAATCTTAATTTATGGCTACCAGAAATGGCTGAATATTTTAACAAGATAAATATTTATTATGTAGTGTACACAATAGTAAAACTAGAAACATAGGGTTTGAATATCAGGCTTTATTAAGAGTCCTGTTCAATTACTGGTTGACGACACAGACATCCAGAAATATTGAAAACTTTACACCAGAATATGACATCTGTGAAGACTCTTTGTGTGAGTGCAGTTACCATGTGACGGGATCCATGGCCTGCTGTATAAGCTTGCATCATACCACACAATATATGAGATAACAACATCTGGTCAGAATTGATATATAGTATTTTCTGGATGTGTGGGTTTGTTTGTTTGTTTTATCACTGAGGAAGGTCCCTGAGGCCAAAATCTGTATGGTCTTGGCGTTGGTCATTTGAAATGTCCATCAACTGTGTTTGGGAAATTATTACAGTTTATGTAAAGCTTGTTCTGACTCTTAATGCAGCCTATGTTTTTAATTTTACTATTGTGTACACTACTGTCAGGTGTCAGCTGGACAGTGCCCTCGATGTCTCGCTCCCCCTCCACCCTCTCTAGTCTCCTAAGGCATCAGGCTACCACTTTTGAGAAGGGAGGGGGTTCTCTCACCCTTGGCCTCCTCTTCTTGTGCCTCTTGAGTTCTCAGTCCTCTAGCCCTCTGAAGGATTTGGCACACGTGGTTAACGATCCTCCTCCTTTGCCTCCAGCTGGCTGCTCTGCAGCCGTACCGGGGCCGCGGGCTCGTCCACCTCCTCCTTGCTTGGTAAGTGTGGGGAGGGGGGTGCAGCATAGTCTAGGCTCAGGGATGGTCCAAGGCCCCTGGGGGTGTTGTGGGGATGCCGGTAGCCGGGACCCAAGGATATCAGGTTGCAGCTTGACCTTCGTATTATCTTCAGTATATTTTGGGTTGAGTTTCATTCCCCCCCCCTTTTTTTTTTTCTTTGCTTGTTTGACTGTTGTAACAACCATTTCACAAGAAATTTCTTCCTTGCAACAGACTGTCTGGAATGATAAAAGACTGATACTAACGAGTCAACAGTGGACCAGGAGCAACCACAAATAAATTCTGGAGGAATCCCAGCAAGATGCCCCTTCATCTGTGCTGTAGGCAAGCATATTTGACTGTCATAACTTCGATACTGTCCACATATAAAGATAGGAATTCAAATTCAGCTAAGTATTAGATTCCAAGATGGAGCAGGGAAGTTCTGCAATTAATCTCTTTCCTCTTCAGACACAAGAAACTGTCCTTGGGGATAGTGTCCCATCCAGAAAATTGTGTGTGTGTGTGTGTGTGTGTGTGTGTGTGTGTGTGTGTGTGTTGAGTGCCATTTTACAGGTTTGAAATAAAGCAGATTTTTTTTTTGAGTGGAAAGAACAGGCTGCTAGTGGTTTGGGTACAAACAAAGGATTATGTCATGGAGAAGAATGGAGATAGAAAAACCAGCTGGGTGTCTGAAATGTGGGGAAATCCTTGGTGGAGAAGCAGCCATGGATGTGTTCTCTATAGTGAGTGGACACACATGAAGAATCCCATTCACCTCACATCCCTGTGTACCTTGCATGAGGTTCTCTTTATTTCTAAATACTACTTTTCTACTCCCAATATAGCATTGATTGCTAGTCTGCTCATCCTTTCTTTTTCAGGCCCAGGATTTCATTCTTACTGAAACCAGAAAAAGTATGACTTTGGAACATTAAAGAAAATATCATTAAATACTTACAAGAATCAGCACAGATTCTAACAGCTTGGCTGTTTTTCTGAGGGATGTTTTTGGAATTGTGCTGAAGAACCACATGCGTAGTTTATTAATCTTGATATTCAGGAAAACAAAGAGAGCTCCTAAAAGGCCCCCAAGTATTCCAAGGAAAATGGCTGGAACAAAGGCCAACACGCTCATATCCAGTAAATTCTTAACCTGAATTGAAAGGAAAAGAAACAGTATGTTCTGTGAATTTTGCCAGTTAGTTAATACACAGCAGCCACTGTGTGAGAAGCAATATAATACAACAGCTCAACAAATAAGCAGGAATTAGGTATATAAGAAGCAGATTCTCTTGTAATAGCTTATGGATCCTAGTCAAGGACTTTGTGCCAGATCGTTCAGTGTATCAAATGCTGCCTTCTACCTATAAATAAATAGTTCATCGCAGAGTAAAGAATGCTTAAGTCCATTGAATCAGTTTTCTGAAGCAACGTTTATGTACTTCACCTACATTTTACTATATTTGTGTCTGAGAAACATTCAGGCCGGGCAAAGGACCACTGCCAAATGGCTTTTTGAGAGGGATTTTTTAGGGAATACATTTGTTTTTCAGTGCCATTCAATAACTAAAGCTCTATCTCTTTGAAGCCAATTTTACTACACAGTAGTATTTCCAAATACAATTTAAATGAGTAGCACAAAACAGCATGATAAAAAGTAGAGACATCACCCTGCCAACAAAAGTCCGCATGGTCAAAGCAATGGTATTCCCAGTAGTCATGTATGGCTGCGAGAGTTGGACTATAAGGAAGGCCGAACGCTGAAGAATAGATTCTTTTGAACTATGGTGCTGGAGAAGAGAGTCCCTTGGACTGCAAGACGATCAAATCAGTCAATCCTAAAAGAAATCAACCCTGACTGTTCCCTGGAAGGCCAGATAATGAAACTGAAGCTCAAATACTTTGGCCACCAAATGAGAAGGGAGCACTCAGTGGAGAAGACCCTGATGCTGGGAAAGATTGAAGGTCAAAGAAGACGGGGACGGCAAAGGATGAGATGGTTAGACAGTGTCATAGATGCAACGAACATGAAGCTGAGCAAACTTCAGAGGACAGCGGAAGACCGGAAGGCCTGGCGTGATCTGGTCCATGGGGTCGCGAAGAGTCGGACTCGACTGTGCGACTGAACAACAATAACAACAAGCACAATGACAGAATGACAGAAACACACATCCCCAGAGTTCCAACAGGGGACCCCCAAAGTAACCCCAGGACAGCTTGGCAGGCACCCCTGAGAAGCACTGGAACCCAGCGAGGTGTGCCCACAATGCTCCCAGGCTCCCTCAGGTTCAAACACATAGATCCTGTGGTCACAACCCAACCCTAGGTGAAATTTCTGGTTATTCACCATTAGCAGAACACTTTGTACAGATAAGAGACCACCTGTTGTGAATTGTACAAATGCAATGGAAAGGGAGAGTCAAATGGGGTCTTGCTTATACAGACAGATATTTGTTGAGGCAAATATTTGCTGAGGTAGGTGTTGTGTTATGAGGTAGATGTTGGGTGATGGAGCCTACCTCCCACCCAGCAGAGGCAGCCATCCTCCCACCCAAGCACCAAGGGCACAACCCACAGACCACATGCTGGATCATCCAGAGAGGAGGAGGAATGGGGGGACAGGCAGGAGGCCAACAGGAGACCTGGATCTTACCCTAAGATATCTAGAGAGGGGTAGCCCAGCAGGAAGGGGTAGCCCAGAAGGTAGGCCAACTCATCCACCCTGGCCAGGTCCAGGTGGGAGCGATGTGGGCTGAGAATGTCTCCCAGGTGGGAGAACACCCCCTCACTCTGCACACTGGTGGGAGGGCAGGAAAAGAGACTCATGGCCACTCAACAGAGGTCATGCCAGATGACAGCCTTGCATGACCAGTACTCCAGGGGATCAGTGGAGGTGAACGCAGGGGACTCGACAAGGTACTCTCTCACATCACCTCTTCCAAATTCTCTGCCATCACATGCCTGGCAGCCCCATCACTGTTGACCTCCCAGTTCACCACTGACAACAATAGCGAGGCTTCACCCTGGTTGGGCTCCTTGAGGAAGAGGTGCTGGGTTGCGGCTCCTCCTCCTCCCCTCAGCCTCTTCCACCAACTGCTCCCTCTGGCCATGTCTGCTGGCCTGTAGCCTCAGCACTTCTTTGCATAGTTCACACTTCCATTACACGAGCTGTGCATTCTGGAGAGAAATGCTGCCTTTTATCTGGGGCTCATAGATACAGGCCAGCTTGTACCCCGCTTTATTGAAGAGAGGATGCAACCTGGTAGTGATGCCCACCTGCAACGTCTGTGCCAGGGCCTTGATCCATGGGAGAACAGCCATATCTTAGGGCCCAGCTCCAGTGCGGAGACCAGCACCCAGTAAATCCCTTGAATCAGGAGGATGACTTGCCCCAGGCTGGCTGTATGGACATAGAGCGCATTGTCCTGGAAGGGCTTGAGGAAACACACCATTTGGGAGAGGGTCTGCCAGTCATTGGTCATGGAGATGAAAACTTGCACTGTGTTCTTCTGCTCCATCAATCATGTAATCATGGCATAGGTGAAGTTCCAGTGGGTGGGTAAGTCCAGGATGAGCTAATGTTCAGGCTCGTCCCCCTCCCCTGCCTCTTGTGCAGTAGACAGTAGACAAGGGTGGCCTGCCTAGATGTCCCAGCCACCGCAACCTGAGTGCAGGGAGCCTTTCTTGGAGGGGCCTCCTGCTCCCCCTCCACTTCTTCTCCTGCTCCCCCTCTGTGTTGGGGGGTTTGCACCCCTTCAAAAATGGGCATGGCACACCTGGCATTCTGCCACATGGGGTAACTAGGGAGGGTGTGGGCTGGAAATAGGGCCCCAGGATTGGAGAAGCTGGGAGGAATAGCTGTTTTCTGGCTCTGGGCTGGGAGAGGCCATGGAGAGGTCTACTCAAGGCAGGAGCAGCAACAGGGAGTTGTGTGCAGGCGTCATTTCCTGCAGGAGCGCACAGGAGCAGAGCTCCGGCAGTAAAGAGCCCAGGGGGCGGGCACATGCAACAAGCCCCACCCCCTTCTCCCAGCAGCCCTCAGTCAGAGCAAGAAGCAGCCACGTAAGTTGCAGAGCCCCCTGTCCCAAAACAGTCCAGTGGCACCTTTAAGACCAAGTTTTATTCAGGCACAAACTCTCCCTCCTCTGCGAGGACAGATCTGCTATGTTCCCCCCCACACACACACAAATAACTAGCAATCGAAAACAGTCCAGTGGAGCCTGAGCGGTGGGTGTTGCCTTCTAACACACTTCCAGTGATGTCAGGGGGTGTGGCATATGCAAATAAGTTATGCTAATGTTATGCTGATGAGCTCCTGCACCTCTTTTTCTATGAAATGACCACTGGTTGTGTGGAAGAAGAGGATGTCCCCCCCCCTCTGAATCACTGCTAGAATTGTCCTCTCCAGAGAGTGTTGCTGGTCTCTGGGCAGTGCTAACAACTCTTTTGCCTCTGTGCAAAAGCACCAGGAACAGATATGGGGAAGGAGTCTCCAAGACACCTGGCGATGCCCTGCTAGGGGCGATCTCCAGTGGGGGGCCAGAATGGATTTAGTGCCCATGGATGGGGGCCTGTGGTACAGTGGGGTGGAAGATGTCTTCCCTCCATGACGAGCACCCTTTGCACCCACTTTTACCCTTATGGCATGGAGAGGTTCATAATCAGGAGGAGTGAGAGTGTATAAAATGTGGGTCCTCAGCCAAGGCACCAATAACTCCCTTTATTCAGTGTGAGCTGAGAGACGGGGTGGCTCACAGCCCTGAGTCCACCTAACACCCGAAACCCCAACAGGGGAGAGGAGTTCAGAAGCAAAATGTGGGTCCTCAGCCAAGTAATTCACTAGCTAAGCCCTCTGCTCAACATGAACTGAGAGACAGGGTGGCTCAGAGTCGTGAATCCTCCTAACACCCACAAACCCTAGCAGGGGAGAGGAATCACAATCAGGAGGGAATCTGCTCTCCTGGTCTGCTTTTAGGAAGAGATGGCAAGAATACACAGAAGAACTATACAAGAAGGACCTGGTTTTAGTGGGATTTACTCCCAAACAAATCATAGCTTTCATGACAATAAATTCAGACATTTATATTCAAGTCGAGTAGCATTTTAGAGACCAGAAGGTCTCTAAGGTGCTACTGGATTCTAATATAGGTCTACTGCAGAGTGCAGACCAACACAGCTTCCCTCCTGAAATTACCTTCAGACATCTATAAAATCCTGCACTTCGGAAAAATCAAAGAGATGTTGTGCAATAAAACTTTTTTTACTCCACTATATTGAACAGGGCAAAACAGAAAGGAAATATTTATCCTGGAAAATAACCCACAAGCTTTCCCTTTAGAGTTTATTCACTGTAAACTCAGTTGGTAACTTCTATAAAACACAAAAGAAAAGTTTCTCTGGAGCATGATACTAACGGAATTGATTCCCCCCCCCCTCCCAGTTATTTGGCCAAGCTAAAAAACTGTAGAGCCATGGTGAAAACCATGTTGGCAGCAACTCTATCCAACATTTCCTTGGGGGAAATAGGAGTCAGCATCAAGAGCTGTTCAGTGAAATACCCGAAAATGAGCTTGTAAAAAACCTATAAAATGTTATTTAAGGCAACAACCATTACAATCCACAGTATTCATTTGGCAGGATAATTACAGAGAAATTGATTTTTTGCACATTGAGCAAAATCCTTGAAAAGGACAGCAGATGTTTGAAATGGTAAGGAAAGACATATTGCATAAGGCTAACATTCCATAAATAAGGTGTAGTATGGAAGAGTATTGTTTGCATGCTCTTGTTTCCTAAACAATAGAAAGCTCAACATATTCTGAACAAAAGCAGTTTCCTTTAGGAGAGCAAATTAAGACATAGCATATCCTACAAAATACCTTTTATTTACAAATATATAAGACAATGTTATTTATTTGTATTATTTAATTAACTGTATGTATTTACTAAGAATAAGGCCCATTGTGGAAATAAATACAATGAGCACTAGAAAGAGGCTCTGGGAGAGTGCCAAGGCCGTGGGCACTCAGAATCAATTTGCCATGGCAACCTCAGCAGGGTATAAGGATACAGAGTCCAGGGGAATGGCTCAATGCCATCTGGAGAACAGTTGTAATTCTGTGTTCTCCAGCCTCCACCTGGAGATTGGCAACA